AAGAAAAAAAGAACGCTTAGTGAAAACAGCAACAACGGACGATTTCGTCCGTTGTTGCTGTTTTCACTAAGGGTTCTTTTCTTCTTCTATACCCACGCCTTCGGCCCCCCGTCACCATTCCCGTTATATATATATATATATATATTGCTTGAATAGAAGATGAAACGAAGTATACTTCAATAAGGTGAGCTGGCGGGCTAGTTGGTCGTTCATCATTAGTAAAATAGCGCAAACAACAAGGAAGAAAGGGCGAGATAGACAGGAAGGGCGCTAAGCGCCCTTCCTGTCTATCTCGCCCTTTCTTCCTTGTTGTTTTGCGCTATTTTACTAATGAAGTATACTTCGCCGGTGACGCCGGGTCCACAAAAGGATATCCTAAGGGTGACTCGCAATCCTCGAGGGCGACTACAGTATCCTGACGCGCCTGACCATGCATAGCCTCCTCCTGACAGTAAATCGCTCTGAACAAAGAGGTCTCCCTGGCGTAGAAGGCCGGCAAAGGATTACGTGAACAAGCATCGTCGCTTGTTTAGTTGCAGCTGGAAGTGGGAACGTGCTCCCATGAACGAAGTATCTGTGTCTGCGTTTGTGCGTGGGGGAGTCAGGTTTTACAAGGGCGTATGCGCTGATGGTGAGGCAACCATGGGAACAGGCACCCAGCAGCGAAGTCCTCCCAGCGGCGCCTCCCGTGGAACCCCCCCCCCCCCCCCCCCCCAACCGCTTGAGGCAGAACTCACTAAAGGCAGGAGACACGAAAACAACAACAACCCTCGGAGTGTCCCCATCTTTGCAGCTGCAGCTGGAGGCCCGGCACCTGTGTGCATTACCGGATTAGGTCAATACCCGACTAAGGCTTGTTAAGTATCTCTTCCTGCGCTCGTGCGCGCCGGTGCTCGTCGCCCCCTTGGCCCAAGGTCGCCTGCGATGCAGTTTCTACGGTTGCCAAGTATAAGTGCGTGGGAACGGAATGTAAGTGGGCCCCTTGTTCGGGAATGCCACTTCATCTGCCAGCGTCTTATTTATTTCTGCGCTCAAACTTTCGTGATGAGCAAAATTAGCACTAAATTTCGAAAGTAGTTGGTAATTTGAGTAGAAGTTACCCGAAAAATGTAGTTAAATAAAACTACTAATTACCCAAATAAAGCTGTAATTGAAAGTTACCAAGTTACTCGGAAAAGTAGTTAAACTACAGTAGTTTGAGTAGAGTAGTTGAACTACGTCCAAGTCTGATATAGCCCTCGTTAAAGATACCGCTCTAGAGGGCGGTGAATTATTCTTTCCATGATTTTCCCTACGTAACTCGCGAGCGCGACAGGACGCTACAAAGTTGATTGAAGTGGTGATTTGCCCTTTTTGAGAAGTGGCACAATCCTTGCATTTTTCCACGAGTTTGGAACATTTTCATTGATTCATGAAGAGTTGTATATATTCAAAAGAAGCTTTCTCAAGTCTTTTTCTATATGTATGAAATAACTACTGTATGCCGTCAGATCTAAGTGAGGTGTGAGGTTTCTCAGAAGACAGTGCAGCACTTGGTTCGCTCACTGTGAAATGGTCGTCACGAAATACTGGCTCGACTGAGGTTCGGGATGAAAATTGGCTCGAAAGAGTTGTGTATATTGTCAACAAAATACACTACTGGTTTGCCACTTCTTTCTCTGAACAATTTCTTGACAACGCCATCGAGCGAAATGGATGGAGTTGCTTAGGAGAAGATTTAAGAGCTCGTGAGATCTTCCATATTTTACATAATGGCTTTCTGCTATCTACATTCTCGCAGAGCGTCCTCCAGCAATGTCGAGCGAGCTTCTTAAAATGACGATAGATTTTCTTTTGCACTCTGCTCAATTCGCGAAGACCTTTGATGTCTTTAGTCTTCCTGAATCGTCGTTCTGCCCACCGAGGTATAGCGCCGAGGGGCGCATTTTCTGCATCGCTTGCTTTTTGCGGGGATAAAACGTTAAATGCGGGTGATTTTTTTTCTTTTTGTTTTTTGTACAGGGTACAATGATATTTGAAGTGAGACAGTTCAGTAATATTTTAGCATTCGTGCGTCATTTCTTCTTCGAAAATATGCCAGTTGGTTCATTGTAGGAATGTGTTTTTCGTACATTGGTTAACCCATTAATTGTTGTGTACGTGGGTGCGTGGTCACTCCCACGAGTTTCAATGTCTGCAAACCATGTTCTTTGCGATGTTAGTGCTGCCGAAACAAACGATAAGTCAAGACAGCTGCTGGCTTCCGTTCGGTGGAAATACATCGGGGTTCCGTCATTGACGGCAGATAAGTAGTAATAATCGGCTAATTCCGCCAAGCGCCTTCCCCGCAGGTTTGTCCGAATGCTCCCCCATATTAGAAGGGAATGGCAGAAGGCCAAACGTCGCTTCCAGTTTGAAATCATCTGAAGAAGCAAGGAGTGCACCATTTCATTATCTACGTCATTGGCTCGGCCGCTAGTTTCACGACTGACTCTTGAAAAATAAATATTTTACTGTGCAAATACACCGTTACCAAGCTTACAATTTTCAAGATGATGCCTAGGGATTATATCTTGTAGTTTGCAACTATAAGAAAGGTCGATGTTTAGGCATCCCGGCATGGGCATACGTCTTCGGTACAATTTTGAAATGGCACAAAGAAAATCCGAAAGAGTCGCTATGCAACGCACGCTTAATCCACAACAAATATCATTAGAAGCCTTGCGATTGAAACGTTTCTTTGCCGAAACTAGATTGTTCATTAATATGACATTTTAGAGCATTTCCCCATTGGGAATTATTCCTCCAAGAAGTCTATAAAAATTGTTCGCCCACCGTTGTGAACAGTCGCCCATTGCAAGCATCTCCAAACTATATATTTGGCGTTTAAAGACGACACCCCTTAGCCCTTATTTTTTCTTGTTAATTACTGATCTTTTTTTTCTTTCAATACGCTATTAATGCTGAACCGTTACTAACAAATCGGTTACTGGTTAATTTTTGTGTGTTTTGTTTTTCCCGATTATCGTTACCATCTTGGTTCATCGCTCAAAGTCACTTCTTTTGCAGTTACAGTTACCAACACAGTTTCTTTCTTTTTCGGTTTCTGGTTCCGATCTTCGCTTCAGTTTGAGTCTCAGGATTTATTTAGAGCTGCATTAGTTAATCATTTTTGCTAATACATATTAGGCTGATCTTTTCTTCTCTCTAGCAGAAGTGCATTGTTGGCCTCTGCTTTGCTTTTTTATGTTTTTGCATTGTTGTTGTTCTTGTCCACCCCCTCTGTAATGCCCTCTGGGCCCTGAGGGTATTAAAATAAATAAATAAGTAAAAAAATAAGCTATGCTGTACATCTTACGTTTGAACGAGAGCAACCTTTTGTTTAACTACAGGATTGAATATACTTTGCCTTATTTTGTCAACAAATGATAGCATGAAACACCTTTAAAATTTAAAGCTTCTGGGGGCTGCTTTGATCTTCTCTAACCCTGAGGGCAATCGATACCGAGCCAACGTTTACCAGGTAGCATAAAATGTTTGACGGACAGTGAAATCCCAAAATATCGACCTCAATATCGGTCAGTTTGAATCGTACGCACGCCATACCCCGCATCGCTCTGCTGACAGGGCCCACACTCTAAGAAAAAAGGGTGTATACGGGTACTCCCCTCAGGGGAGTTAGACCGTGTCCCATATGTGACTCCCCTGGGGTGTTTATGGTATCCTCTCAAGTTGGGGCATTCAAGTACTCCCCAGATATACGGGATCACTGAGCACCCCCCTCAAAGTCCACGGGCCTCAACCGACACCCCTTACTTCGGGTGCTGTTTGGCGCCCTCTGTTACATTCGGGTACTTATATCACACGGCTAATTAGAGGAATTATATGAAACCATTTTCAACTCTCAGGGAGTCAACGAATCCCTTCTAAATAGGGTGCTTTTTGGCGCCTTTTGTGACACCCAGATACTCATGTGACACCCGTAAATCCAGGCATTATTTAGTACCGCTTACAACTCTCAGGGAATCACTTGATCGCCCCTAAATTGGGTGCTTTGTGGTGCCCGTTTTTATACCTAGAGACTCGCGTGATCCCCCTAATTGCGAGTGTTGTCAGACACTATACACAACCTTCGAGGTTTTCCGCGACTCCCGACTTTTGGGGTCGCTTTTGTACACCATGGGTCTCGCGGAGCTCCAAATAGTGAAGGCACTTTTTCAGACCCCGAGACTCAGCTAACTGGCTCGTTCAGGTGTGCTGATGGGGCGATGATTCCTAAGGCCAGCTGTCATACGAGAGAGTTCTGAATTCTTTGCGTGTCAAGTTCCTAAAGGAGGCACTTCGAGGAGGTTTCAGGGATAGGAGAATAATACCCACGGGCAACGTGCCGGCATCAAAATTTAACTGAAGACTTCTAGAAACACACAATCCAGACATTTGAAAAAAAGTCCTGCCAGTCATGTCAGCCAACAATATTGTCAACCACGTTTTTATTGTAAAATCAAAAACTTGATACAGGTCAAAAGCTTAAAAAATAATTAGTAAAAGCTTGTAGCCTGCCAAGAAGCTTCAGGGCAACTTTTTCCAGTGGTGTTTCTTTCAGCCCGATCGTACGTTCAAAGAGAGCCAAGGCGGACTTGATCCCCGTTGAATATTAAATATCCAAAGTTCAATAGATTATGAGGCTGAAGCCATGGATGACGTCGCCAACATCCACCGACAGGTCCTCCACCTGGACTTGGACAGCTGCAGAATAGAAGGCGTCCTCTGTAGAGAATAGGACCGTCAGATGAGTTTATCTTTCTCCTGGAACCTGCAATATAATAAAGTACCGCACTTAAAAAGGAGAAGACGACGACGATCCTATCTCTGGTAACCCATTTTGTGCTCTCCGAAGTAATCGTAAGAAACTACTGTTTTTCGTTTTGAGTAACCTCCAATTCTGTGACTACCACTAGAGAAAAGTACCTGACCTTTGTGTTCAAAGGGCCTCCTTTTGGTAGGCCGGAAAAATCTCGGAAATGACAACTGAGCCTCTGACCCCACCGAACCAACTCCACATGGAAGAGGACGAAGACCAGGCTACGGGCCCCATAGGTGACCTTCCACCTACTGATTCCATAAATGACTCACACAGTAGTTCCTCATCGACAATTGTATCCCTACGTGACGACGACGACATGCTCTCCGATGACGCACAGTACGAACTAGTGCATGGAAAGAAAAGACGCAAGACAAGCCAGAGCCCTGCATCACCACCTACGAACGAAACCAATTTACAGGTCGGATACACAGTACTGTTCATCCCGACAGCAAGCGACAAAGTGGGATCTCTCAGCAAATTAAAGCTCACGGACTTCCTCAACAACGTTGCTCCAGGCATGGTCAGTGTAGTTCGAGTGAACGCAGCACGTAACATCGTTGCAGTAGATGTGAAACGACCTCTCTACAAGGCCGAACTTCTAAAGATAACAAAACTCTGTGACGTGCCTGTAAGAGCTTTTATACCTCGAGAACGCTCCAACTGTTTCGGCGTACTTCGAGATATTGATCCCGACTATACCGAAGAAGACGTCAAGGCGCAGCTACAGTCCTCCATTGGAGTAACAGAAGTGAAGCGACTAGGCAAAGCCTCGCCTGTTGTGCGAGTTGCATTTGCAGGTAAAATGGCACCCCAGCATGTCAAAGTGGGCCTTGTGAGGACTACAGTAATTCCTTATCGAGCACGACCCCTGCAATGCTACAAATGCCATAAATTTGGTCACATTGCAGTTGCATGCGCTGCAGAGTTCCAAATTTGCTATCAGTGTGGGCAAAGTCATGAAGGCGCATGTGAGGCCACCCCGAGCTGCGTGAATTGTCGAGGAAATCACACCTCTAATGCAACAGAATGCCCAGTCAAGCAAAGGGAAACAGAAATTATGAGATACCAACACGAAAATAACACGACACTTCGTGAGGCAAGGGGTGCTGTGTACGCGAAACGTCAAACCAACAAGCAAGTGAATGAAAAACATATACAGAGACCTAACATAACCAGTACGGCAGCGCCACCTTTGACTGATGAGGCGTTCCCTCCTTTGAGCAACTCGGGGAAAACGGCTGAAGATGACCCCACCGCGGCATCCACATCATCAGACACACTAGGAAATTCTCAGAAACCATCCTTTTGGGAAAAACAACACATCAAAGACATTATCTCACACTCGTCTTCTCATACACATGCGTCGACTCCCAACCAGGCGAATGGAAGAGCACCTACCTCACTGATTAAAGTGATAGTGCCGTTAATTTTCTCCGTCCTTCGAAAAATATTGGACACAATACCACCATCATCAACGCTCCACCAGGTGATCACAGCAGTCCTTTCATTAGAGTCCATTATTTCAATGGCGTTCTGAACTATTCTCAAGCACGCCATACTCGCACTAAAAGGTCTATAACGCCTCCACGAAGCCCAGTGCTTTCACTTTTCTGCTCCAATAGCTAAACGACAATCAACGAAAAAGGCCAAGAGCATAAAACCTTTGCCAACTATACTACAATGGAATGTAAACAGCCTTCGTCCTCGCCTACCTGAACTTCGGCGCCGCCTCCTTACACTGCAAACAGATGTTCTCGCACTACAAGAGACTTACTTACCTAAAGGGCTTCACCGATTCTCCCCATATGTCCAGTACCACAGTGATACAATTCACCCCGATGGAAAATCTCGTGCATCCTTATTCATAAAAAAATCAATCTGTCAAAAAGAAATACCTTTGAAAGACTTCAACTCTACATATGACGAACACGTCGCGGCAATCATACGAATAGCCAAGCAGGAAGTTACTGTCATATCCAGCTATGTTCGACCAAATACACCTTGGAATCCTAACACAATCCGGAAAATTCGTGCACGCTGTTCTGGACCCATCATCTGGTGTGGCGACTTCAACGCAAACCATCCAGCATGGGGAAGCGACAGCACTACGCGACGAGGCACCATACTTTTGGACATCATCGCTGATTTCAACCTCCGCTGCATAAACACCGGAGACCCTACACTAGTACGGCCCAACCTTGAAAAAGCAAGCGTCCTAGACCTCACTTTGGTATCGCCTGAAATAGAGATAGTCTGGAGTCTCGAGCCCGACACATGGGGCTCAGATCATATTCCAATTCACCTCACTCCCCGCTGCGGCCTCGCACCAAAACATCGTGTACATACAGTAACGAATTGGGATATGTATCGACAAATACTAGCAAAACTCATTAAAAGCGCTGGCACGGGTAGCATCCCACTGGAAGATGCAATATGTGTAGCTATCTCTAAAGCCACCAAAACAGTCACCCAACCCGCGAACAACCCAGTTCCTGACCTTATATATCTCGAAATCCGCGCTGCCTCTCGACGAGCTCAGCGGATTGCGAGACGCACAAATGCCCCCGCCGACTGGACAAAATCAAGGCAAATAGACGCAAAACTACGTCGTCATACCAGACGCCTAGGCAGACAACAATGGCAACTTCGAAGCGAATCGCTTAAAACTGATTCGGGGTCGAGGCTACCTTGGACCACTGTGAGATGCTTACTTGAGCCTGTATCTCAAGCATATCCTTTTGCTGAGATAGCGATAAAAGACAACCTTACTATGGCTAACCTCGCAGAAAAATTCGCTGACGAATTCTCAAGGCCTGTATCTCCACCGCAAGGAAAACCTCCAGCGCCGAAGCCTCCAGTCCCAAATTTCACCCGAGCAACTATAAACGACGACTTCACAAACCCTGAGCTAGACTATGCCCTGACTCGCTGTCGCCGCAAGGGTGCCCCAGGAGCCGACGGCATTACAAACCAAGCCCTCAAAAACATTGACGCTACGGATAGACCCCTTCTTCTAGAGTACCTCAACGTGATTTGGCGATCCGGCGAACTTCCTTCCTCCTGGCTACATTCTACTGTAGTAGCCGTCCCAAAAGCAGGCAAGTCGAAAGCCATCATAACATCTTACCGTCCAATCTCCTTAACCTCCTGTGTCTGCAAATTTTTAGAGCGGATGATCCACCGACGGCTCAGCTGGCAACTTGAAGACGCACAAGCGCTACCACCACAGCTATCAGGGTTTCGCGCGGGCTGCTCAACAGCGGACTCGATTGGAAATCTGACATCATCACTAGAGCAAGCCAAGGCACAAAAACACGTTCTTCATGCTGTCTTTCTAGACATTCACCGAGCATTTGATGCACTTCCACACAACGTGATTATGGAGCGCCTTCGTCATATCGGTGTCAGAGGGAGAACGTACAAGTTTATTGCGTCGTTTTTACAACGAAGAACCTTCCATGTAAAAATAGCTGGGCATACAAGTTCGCCCCGCGACTCTTCCCAGGGAAGCGTCTTAAGTCCCTTGCTATTTAACATCGTGATGGCCGGCCTACCTTCTGCGCTTCCTAAAGGTGACACAATCGCAGTCAACTGCGCTATCTATGCAGACGATGTTGCGCTCTGGTGTACGGGGCCAACGCGCATCTCGACTACAATACAAGCCAAACTCCAACAGTCCTTGAACACAACAGCCGCATTTCTCTACCACGCGGGTCTCACGCTGTCAGTAACAAAGACATCGGCGTTGAGCTATCGGCCAAGAGCTAGACTTAAAGGAAAATTCAGCTCGCTACGCGTAGATGGCAAACGGATTCGCAGAAGCACTGAGGTGCGATATCTTGGTGCAATCATTGACGACCGAGGAAATTGGCGCCCAGCCGTCAAACATACACTATATGAGGCCCGCAAATTACTTGGCGCTATCCGAAGAATGGGAGGCCGCAACTGGGGTGCCAGTCAACAAGTCATGCTTACGCTGTGTCGCGGCCTTATCGTCAACCGAATATTATATTCCCTCCCCCTGCTGGAGATTCTGGATTCTCAATGGAAAACTCTCGAGACATTTCACCGCAACGCACTCAGGATTTGTCTCGGACTGCCACGCTCGTCACATAACGTCTCCGCTATAGTCGAGGCAGGTGACTCACCACTAAAAACACAATCACAAGAGAGAACACTACTTCACGCAGCCAGACTACTCAGAGTACCATCATACGAGACACTCATTGACAGCATACTACTACGCCATCACTCCTACCTCGGTAAGACCATGAAACGCTTCATTGACCACGTCGGCTACCCAGAGAACATCCCTCCCCTCCCCCCTCCACACCGGCAGAACGATCACCTCCACATAACAACAGAGATCATGGACCTCCCACGACGAGGCCACGTCGCCGATATCGTGGCACGCGACATCGCAAATGACGTCATCCAGTCCTATTGCAACATGAAGCACATTTATACCGATGGAAGCAGGAAAGACTTATCCACCACAGCTGCTTACATCATACCAGAATCTAATCAATCTTCTACAGCCAAATTGAGCTACTGTACCGACACGACCACAGCAGAACTTGCTGCGATATGGCTCGCGCTCTCCGAGTTAATAACACTTTCGGAAAATGAAAAAGTGGCTATTTTCACGGACTCGAAAGGAGCCTTACGACAGCTCCAAAACTTGAGAAGGGGAACTCCTTTGGCAAGATCCATTGTTCAACTCGTACACCACATGGCTAAAGAAGGATCAATCATCTACTTTCAGTGGATCCCTTCGCATGTGGGTATACATGGTAATGAAAGAGCAGATGCCCTTGCAAATGAAGCCCACAATAATGTATCCCAAGTAATAGAAATACATCCATACAACAACTATCGAATCATAATCCATAATGAAGCACAAACTAATCACCCCCACCCAGGAACGGCTTCTGGACTACCTCCTCCAACCATTCCTAAAAACAAATTCCCGAGACCGCAACAATCGTTGCAACATAGACTACGAGTCAACTGTGCAAACACCTACTCTCGTCTACATCTCATGAGACAAGCGTCTAGCCCAAACTGTCCCGCATGTGATGAAAGAGAAGATCTGGACCACATCTTTTGGACATGCCCACAAAACGCCAATTCAAGAAACGTCCTGAAAAAATCTATTGCGAACGGCAGTAACCAGGATACCCGAAGTCTTCTTTTTCCCGCAGGACCACAAGCACTAAAGGCCCGTTCACACTCTTGCGACCGAGTACGACTGAGAGCGACTTCTTAGGACCGGATGCGAGGCAGCGGAGCTGGTCCTAAGAGATCGCAAGAGGCTTAAAAACCGGTCTGGTCTCTCTCGGTCGTACTCGGTTGCAAGAGTGTGGACGGGCCTTAAGGGTGCAAACATTCAAAGTCATCCTTCTTTTCCTCCAAGAGACTGGCCTCTCAACACGCCTCTAGGCTGTACTGACGGGCGTCAGCCATCCTCCTCCTCTTAACCACTCTTGGTTTCCCTTTCCCCAAGCGGAACGAGAAAGCTGACCCCGCTATTGGGAGACTAACCTCTCGTTCCGCATTACCCCCTTTTTCTTTTGCTCAATAAACTCACTCACTCACTCACTTAAAAAAAGTATGCAAACATGGGTCATGATTATACGCTCTATTATTTTTCATATTTAGATATAATAATCAGAGATTGCCTGCTTCCGTATGCTGTGTGGGTGCATAATTTTTCTTTTAATGTCACGTAATGATTTCGATGTTCGCAGCCATTAACTTTGCATAGACTGTTGAGGCCTTTCACCAAATGCTCACATATCACAAGATGAAGTGAACAGGTAGTGTTTAAATTATTTTAACATACATATGACCTTCATGTGCCTAGTACGAAGCGGGCACATGTTTAGGGGATGCATATAATTCGAATATGAATTTAGCTCAATTCGGACCCAATTAGTGCAACGCCAATTCTCGAAACGTCGCACACGATTTGGTCATGTACTAAGCTAGAAAACTGGGCCAGTTTAACTTCGTAATTTGTCAGGACTCGTAAGGAACCCCGCCAGGCACGCACAGGAAAAGGAAAATATTTTCCTGCGCAGATCGCGTTTTCGATTTAAACGGTGTTATGAGCTGCGTCATTCGCTTGAAGA